CCCTTTCCCTGCAGAAAGGTGGCTGAAGAGGAAGGTCTGGGCAAGAAGGTCTGAATTCAGGAGGAGGAAAAAGACGAGAAGAGAAAGGGAGAGAGAGAAAAAAAGAGGACAGAGGGTGGGAGAAGAGTAGCCTTGGGTCCAGTGACCACGTGGCCAGGAAACTTTGCCTTTCGGGGACCACATTGCAAGCTTTGCACCCAACTACAGCGAGGGGGCCCTGCCCCAGCCCAAGGCTAGGAGCGCGTAGAGCCAGTCCCTGCTGTAGCCAGCTCATTGGGATGAATGGGAAACAAGTGGCTGTTGGAAGAGCCAGATAGGGACCTAGAAGAAGGCTTGAAGCCCAGCTCCTGGACATTCCTGCAAACGAGAGGAGATGGCCTTGCGGGCGGGCCGGGGAGGGGGGGCACACCAGGCGACCTCTGGGGTCCCTTGCGTACACCCGTGGCCAGATCACGGAACCTGACCATGCCCATGGCTACCCGCAGCCTGAAGCCTGCGGCCAGGCGGGTTAAAGTCACCATCAGCGCGGGCTCCAAAAAGTTCCTTCACTTCCCAAGGCCTACAGGCACTCCTCTGGCCCTCAGCGCCCGGGGGTGAGAACGCGCTGTGCGCCCTCGGGCCTCCGGGAACCGCGGGAACCCAGCTGCGCCCTCCAGCCACTGCCTCTTGGCTTTGCTCTTCCCTCAGGAACTGGGCGAAGCGTGTCTACCGCAGACTCCGGTCGCCTCCTGGGCAGCCTGAGGCCTGGACTTCCAGGGAGTACTTGGGGCTGACCTGGGAGGGGTCTCTTCTCCCGGGCTGTGGAGTTTGGAGAAAACTTGCCGGGGCGTGTTCTCCGAGGAGAAGTCCAAATCTTGCGGGAAAGAAAGACCCGCAATGGCATGCGCGGATGTGGGCGCTCGCCAGGAACGCATCGCCTCAGCCCCTGAGGGATCGGAGTCGCTCTCTGCAAAAGGTTTTAGGCACCATTTTTGTTGTTGTTGTTCCATAAACCAGTTTTAGCAACGCATGGAGACTGGAAGCATAGCTCTTAAAACATATACCAAAAAAAGCAAGAGAGAGCGCGAGGATGGGATGAGATTTTCAGCCACATTGACTCAGGAAACCTGGGATGCCGCTCCCGTGCTAAGAAACTCTTCTCCAAGGCAGCTGCCACCCCAGCGCCTCCTACACGCGGCGGCACTGAAGGGAGAGGAACACCTTGCCCCTTGTGTCGACCGTGGTGTTGGGGAGACCAGGAGGAAATCTCTCTTGTTGCTCAAGGGTTAGATGTGCGTTAGTGTTCCCTGAGCCTGGGAGCGTTGTGGCCCAAGCAGGAACCCGACCAATTCAGTGCTCGGGATCTATTCACTTTAGCGCAAGAGGCTTCCGATGGGAACTTGGAAGGGAGTCTTGTTGGGAGACAGGATCTTACAGTTCTCCATATAACCAAGCTCTATATGACTAAACGAGAACGTAAAAGCAAAATGAACATTCCAAAATTCACCAACTCTGCTTACGCACCTGAGAATCTTGAAAACTTTAATCTGGAAGTCGTGAGAAAGGAGTTGAGGAATAAGATATGATAAAATGCTGTGTTTATGTCCGTAGTTATGCCAGAGTGGCAGCTACTTTGTCCCAAGTTCTAAAAGAGCATTAGTGCATTAATCCACTGTCATCCTTCACATAAGAAGAATGATTGGCCTCATTTTTAAAGATGATGAAACGGAAGCTTTGCGAATTTGGGTAATTTACACATCTCAGACTGATGCTCGCTAAAGTCAGGATTCAAAACCTTCAAGTTCAATGCACCGTCCAGTGCCCAATAGCTGTCGGCCAGGCTTCAGCCTCAGAAAAGCCTGGGAGGATATGAGCGCTTTGTCCCTTTACTTCGAAGCCTATTAATCCTCGTTAACCCGGAGTTAGTTAAAGGGACCTAAGAGCTCAGCGCTTCCCCCTTGGAGAGGCCTCTGCATTGTCTTTGGCAGCACCTTTCTGCACAGCACCCGTCCCTTGTTTTATTGTGCCTTATTGATTTGCCAGAGTAATAAATGTAAGAGGAGGGGCAGTGCGCCCCCATAATCACTTCGTAGCCTCGGTTTTACGGCTGTGGTTTCAGCACCACCAAGATGCATCGCTTGTTAGGGCCCCCTAAATGGCTCACATTTTGCGCTGGGGTTCGTGTTCAAAGACCTTTCGATTCCTCTGGTTAGCCACTTATCTCTCTGAGCGCTCAGTTTTTTCAGATTCTTCCTCGGATAGAGAACATGTGGGCATTTGGAAATGGGTTTGGAGCAATTTGTTTAGTCTTTCTCTTGTTTCTTCTTTTTTTTTTTTTAAACTGTTCTTCTTATGGAATTATTTAAAATTATAGTTTGAACCATTAAGGTAACTAAGATTCGTCTTTTCCTGAGAGGAAATTCCATAGCAAGATTTTGTCTTTTTAAATGGAATTATAAATCCTTTGCAAGTTTTTTTGAAAATGAACTTGAGAACAAACAGGACGTGGGAAGTCCTGGTGAAGAATGAACATAGGTTGCAATAACCAATACCCTCATCCTCCTCACCTCCCACCTTCTAGAAGAAACCACATTTTTTTTTAAGGAAGTCTCCCTTACAGGGTAAACCCTTACCATTACCCAATACAACAGTGTCTGTCATACATTAAAAATGTAACTCTTGTTCTATTGACACGTCTGTTTGGTGTATGTTTGAGCAATCACACTTTGAGAACAGAAGTTCCTGGGTTATTCCAAAACACCTTTGAATCAGATTCAAGATCATAAACTGAGGCTCAGAGGCATTCTGATTCTTGCTATGGTTTAATCTCAAAACGCAGCGGGAGTTCACTGATTAAGGGACTGTTGGCTAAACTGTGACCAAGGGCCTGGTCTGGAGCGCTACACTGGGGTCTGCCTTAAGGGACACCCCCTTTCACTCGAGCAATTAGAGTTGAATTTTATTTCCATCAACAAACTTCTAAGGTTTCAGTAATCTGCCAAAATATTTAGGCAGGTGTACTTTTTCCAGTCTATGCATTTTACACTTCAACAATATTATCTGAATACGTTTCTTAGCAACTTGTTTTGAAAATAAAACAAAAATATGAGCAAACATACACACACACACAAATTAAGGACACAAGATGACAGAAATCCCCCCCCCCCTCCAATTACTGCAGTGTATTCCGATTCATAGTGACTCTACAGGACAGGGCAATACTCTTCCTTATGGGTTTCTAAGGCTTTATAATCCTTCTGCAGCACAGCAGCTGGTGGATTCTAACTGCTGAACTTTCTGTTAGCAGCTTTTAACCCTGGTTTCCACAAGGTTCCTCCACGTGATGAAGTCATGACGCTCCCAGATGGACGTAAGGCACCTACTTTGACTTTTTTGTTTGTTTTTTCCTGTAGATTTAGTTCAGGAATTGGGGAGCTGAGAGGTAGTGAGATGAGAAAGACTACTAGGAAATGGGGGACTCTCTCCTCCACCACCACTCCAGGCCCACCAAGAGGTTCCTAATCACCAGACCAACTGACTGGGAAGAGTGCAAATATTTACATGTACAGCTTTGAGTGTGTTTGAGGCTGAGTTTACCCGGCTCCAAGTGAAGCGGATTATCCTGCGAATTCAGAGAATGTGAGTTATTCAGACTCAACCAGACCAGTGGGACGCCCCCCTCCCAAGGTTTTGGGGAGTCTTGGTCACAGTCAAGTCACAAAGGGAGGGCGTTCCAGGTCCGCCAAGAGGCTGTAGGAGCGCGCTGAACCCCGCGTGGCGCGGTCTCTGCCGATACCCGATACCCGCACCACACCCGGTCAGTTCCCGCAGTCAGCCGCAACCCTGAACCGCGCCTTCCCCTCTGCCCCAGCCCCAGTGTCTCTCCTGGAAAGAGGAACTTCAGAAGAAAGATACTCTTGTGCCCAGCAGAAGCCACCATCCTGAGAGCAGCATCCAGCCAATCAATGCTCGCAGCTCATTCGTAATCTTTTGCAGCGCTGCATCCCCAGTCTCCTAAAGTCAGTCAGAAGGCGGACAAATAGACTGTGGGGGCCCACAAGCGCGCGGGGGAGGAGGGAACCGTCCCGGGGGCACACCGCGCACAGGGACTCATCTAGCAGTTGGTCCAGGGCGGCTTTGTGGCGCAGGGCTCTGCGCTACACAGCGCTTCCCAACTTTCTAGAACTTAAGTGAGCGGTAGTAAAAGACCACGGGAAGCAATACACTCCCGGGCTTCCTCCAGGCTAGCTTCCGAGGCCCCAGACCTCAGTTGTTAGACCGCGCCTAAGGTGCTCTCCCCGGGGAGGACGCACTGCCCCTCACCAGGGACGGTAACACCAGGCAAGGGGCGTAGGCCCAAGCGGACAGCTCCCCTTTTAGTGGTTCCCACTAGGTAGTGTGAGGGGCCACACGGACGCCTAGTCCCAGGCGCGCCCTCCCGGCCTGGCCGGCCCCGCCCCCGGCGGCCATGGGGAGGCAGTGACGTGGGGCGGCTCTGAGTGGCTGCGGGCGGCGGGTAGCAAATTAAGACGCAGGGCGGCAGGCGTCGGGCACAGTGTCCTCGGCACCGTGTCCCGCTCGGAACGCCCCCCGCCCGCGGCGCTCGCTCGCGGGGTGACGGCGACCGTGCAGCTCCAGCACTCCGGACTGTATCCAGTGAGGACGTAAGCCTGCGCCGCGGCAGGGTGTGCCGTGACCCCCGGGTTGCGTGCAGCAGATGCTGGGCTCGGCCTCAGAGACGCACAACCTTCAGGTCGTGGTGCAACCTCAGGCCGCGGTGCCCGCACGTGTGGCGGAGCCAGGGCTGCTCCTGTCACTTGCTCTCTGACTAAGTTTGGAGTCGGCGCGGCTCTGAAGCTACGCGGGGAGGAGAGGAGAGGCGCGCAGAGCTCAGGGGCAGTGGAGACAACGCGTGTGGAGTCCCCACGCTCGGGGACCTAAACGCTCTTGGGGACCTGGCCCTGCACTGCGGGTCTTTTGTCCCCTTTGGAGAAACTGGACAGCTGACCCCTCTCGGGGGCCATGGAGTTCACGGCGTCGCCCAAACCCCAGCTCTCCTCGCGTGCCAACGCCTTCTCTATCGCAGCGCTCATGTCGAGCGGAGGCTCCAAGGAAAAGGAGGTCGCGGAGAACACTATCAAGCCCCTGGGTGAGTCGGCCTGCCTGTGGCCCTCCGAGGACATGGGCGCTCTCGCTCGCTGTCTGTATGTCTGTGTATATTTTGCACGGCTGTTTGTCCTCTGCCGCTTGGCCGCAGGAGGATCATCAGAATAACGGACGTCACCAGTGGCCACTTTACCACACTCAGGCCAGCAACAGATCCTCTAGCTATAGTCACAAGTCCTAAGTGGGAGATTTTTCTCTTTTTGGCCCAAGTTTTCTCTGGAGGTGCCCTCTTATACACGGTCCGTTATATACTACAGCTATGGCATCTAGTGTGGGGCCTTTCTGATACCTGTCTGTCCTGGTACTGAATCAGGCTTGTGCGAATGTGTATGTACATAGGTTATTGAACGCAAGGGGTTCTTTTCCGTTGTCAATTGCCAGTAAAACAGACGGATTGCAATATTCAGAACATATTGCGGATCTGGGTGAACTTAGAGAAGCCTCTCAAAATCTGCCTCCCGTGAAAGAGTGGTCATTGGATTGGAAATTAATCTACTTCACATAATACTTTTGCAAAGTTACAAGATTTTCACATTCAAAACAATTTACACATAGTTACTAGTAAGCCGGCAACTTGGGATATAGTTTACATCTAACTATGAAAATACTGTTTCAAAGAGGTAAATGCTAATCCCAGAAAGATGCCTTTCCCGTCCTGGTAAACAGACAGTTTAAGGTATGATTTACATATGATTGAGAAAAACTAGTATCGGACAGGTAAAAGCTAATCCAGGAAAGATGCATTTCCCGTCCTGGTTAACAGGCATTTTAAAGTACTTTACATGACTAAAGAAAGAGAAGTAGGATTCTAGGGCAAAGCAACCAGTTTTGTAGGCTAGAGGCACCTGATGTCAGTTTTACAACTATACCATGTATTTGAATAATTCTGATCTTATGAGTACCACCCTAACATATGTGTGTGTGTGTGTGTGTGTGCGCGCGCGCGCGCGCGCGTACATGGAAAACTATTTGTCCAGGAATAAATAATAATGAAACACCTTTTAAACCATAACAAGAGTTACAAGACATGTTATATTAATTTATGCATTTGAAAGCAAGAAGATACAAAGAGAAGTCACAAAAAAGTCAGTTGAAATTTTTATTTCCCCCGAAACGTGAATAGACTAAACAGAGTCAGCTCTTTAAAAACAGAGCTGAAATTTCTCATTCGAAATGAGATCGAATTAGCCAATTGGTCCGCCGTGAACATTTTTTTTTGTCCCAGAAGCTCCAGGCTTATCAGTAAGACATCATTTTATAACTGCCATTATTTTCGATTGAGGTTGGCAAAAACATTAACCAGTAACCGTTTCCTAAATTCCTCAACTTTCAGTTACACTGTTTATGTAACAATTTTTACCATTTATAGCAGAGTAAAAGGAGAATAGAGATTCTGTTCCCCTCGCCCAAGAGAGCTGAGTGTGAAGGAAACTGCCCAAGATAAAGTGGGTTCTGAAGAAAACAAAAATCCTTTTACAAATTAAGGAGAAATGCATAACCTTTGGAAAGAAATATTTTTGTCATTGCCTTCTGGCGCCCCAGGAAGTTAAGTACTCCCTATTCTAATGGTAAACAATCTATGAAAACCACAAATAGTAAACTTAATTTATTCTTTTTCTAATTTATTCTAGCTCTCCTATTTTCTCCTTCCTTTTCTGTGCCATTCCCAACACATTAAACAGATCTAAATTAGTAGTAATAGAAAGAAAAAAGAAGAAAATGAGTCTGAGTGAAGAGAAAACAGAGAACTAAAATCCCTGTAGCAAATTGCAAGGAAGGAAGTGGAAGCAGGAATGTGGGCCAAAAGCCTCCCATTTCCCCTTCCCTCATTCTTCCCATTTACCCCTAAATCTAAATCTAAACCTGACAAAAAATTAAAACGTTAAATCAAATGAGCCACAATTATTTAGAAATAAATTCATTATCATTTTAAATATTAAATGTGAGCAACTTTCAACAATGTTCATTCCTTTTTAGGGATACCTGAATTGTGCACAAATCCCTCCCTTTTCAGTTTGGTATCTAGCAGGAAATGAATATCTTGATTTAAAATTTCTGACAGAACTGTAGGTAATGGATTGAAAAAATGTTAAAGCGTCACTGTCATTTTGACATTGTTTCCTTCATTATTTGCCTGAGAAAAGCCACTTCCTATTAAAATAATGAACTGTAAAGCAGTTGCCAGCTCTCTGTACACACTTCCTCTATCTCTCATCATCATCATCATCATTTGTAAAATAAGGTTCTCTGTGCTTTTGAGAGGGATTCTAGAAGAATGAGTAGGTATTCTTCTCGCTTACATGGTTCACAGAGAAATAAGTACTGACTGATAACCGAAGATTCCAGCATGAGAAGAATTGAAAGGTCTATCAAGGGAGTATGTGATACCTTAGAACACTAGGAAAATATAGAAGCAAATTTGTATGGTTGGGACCCACAGAGCCTTGAGAATATCCATTTCAGCATAGTTTTTTAGAAGAACTGCTCCAGACCCTTAACACATTCTAGATCATTCTCTTTCTCCTCTACTTCCCAATCCTGAGACTTTAGTCATTTTAGGATAGGGAGCCAGCTTTCCCCACCAGTTTTAAAATAAGAAACTAAAATGAAAGACATTTGATAATTTCCTATAAAGATGTAATGCACATATGTTTCTAAAAGTATTAGTAGAAAATAAGATGTTCCTGTTTCCCTTGCTTTTAACTTTAAAGAGAAGGGGATAAGATTATCAATTTAACTTAGTCTTAAAATATTTTCATGCACTTGATTATTACTGGAAGAGAATAAAATGTGAAAGTGCAACAGTTTTGTTTCTCTATTTCTTGCTTGCCTGCCTGAGGTCAAGAAGAGTGGGGAGTAATTAAATATATGTTTTTTTATATGCGTGTTGTATGTATATGTCCAATTGTATGTATGTACACATGAACATTCAGAATTTTGAAGACACTGAAAGATCAACTTCTCATTGCAAACTCAAATAGTTTCTTTTTCACTGCATGGGAGATAATGAGGACAATTATCGAAGTCCCTCTGTATTCCATCAAAGTGACTGGTGTAGTCTCAGGCCCTTATCAGCTGAGGAGGAGAACATTTGGCTCATAGACTGTGGCATTCTAGCCTGATGCTGATGGCAAAGCAGTTTTTTCATTTTCATTAATATTCTGCCATCCTGAAGTTGGAACCATTTTCTCCACTTTCAGGCTCTTTTTTTATTAATGGTGGGGAGACACATAAAATACCCCTAATTGTTCCAAGCCTATTTAAAAAAAAAAAAAAATGACCAGAGAGCCTTTTCCTGTTATTCAGCAAGATGTGTGCTGGGGTCTTTTAAAAAGTCTCAGAATGGCAAGAATGTAAAAACGATCTAATCATATTCTGTTCTCTAAATGGGGAGGACACTGAGGGCCAGTGGTTTCTTCCATTTCCTGCCCCCTGTCATTCTCTCTTACTGAGAGAGGAAGTGAAGAGGAGCAGGGAAATTTCCTCCCAAATGGAGGAGGAGAGTGCTTGCAGGACTCCCTTAGTCTCTAAGGAGAAAATCCTCCAGGTTGGCAAAAAGGCAAGACTGTCTCATAAACTGTGGAGTCTAGAACTTTGGAGGGACAGTTAGAGGTATTTTTGTTCTTTATCTTTCCAGTTACCCTCATTTCCTTTCTCTACCACACATTTTAACTCCCCAAAGTGAGTTTCAGTGTTGGTGATAAGAAGTCTTGTCTCCAGAACCCTATGTGTGCAGCATGCATGCACTGGAAGTGGGGAACTGGGAGGCCGTGTTCTGTATGTGTAGCAATGAGTCATCTCTGCTGTTCTGAAGTTTCTGAGTTTGACTTTGAAAAAAAAAAAGCAAAGCCAAGTGCCAGTTTCAGTTGTGCTGCTATTTTCCCAAATATTTCCTTGATTGACAGATCAGCTGTCATTCTCTTTCCCACCAGAGCAATTTGTGGAGAAGTCATCGTGTGCTCAGCCCTTGGGTGAGCTGACCAGCCTGGATGCCCACGGGGAATTTGGTGGTGGCAGCAGCCATGGCAGCAGCAGCCCGTCTTCCACCACTCTGTGTACTGAACCTCTGATCCCTACCACCCCAATCATGCCCAGCGAGGAGATGGCCAAAATTGCCTGCAGCCTGGAGACCAAGGAGCTGTGGGACAAATTCCATGAGCTGGGCACGGAAATGATCATCACCAAGTCGGGCAGGTAGCTGGTCCTGAGTGGGCCGGGAGTGGGGCACAGGGATGGAGTCTTGTGTATATCCAGGAACTGATGAAATGTGCTGGGCTTGGAGAACCTTTGTTGTAAGGATGGCAGCTTGTCTTCAGTTTGCCTTTGAAAGCAGAAAGATTTGGAAGGAAACCCTGTGGTTTTCATTCTCTGCAATGGGGAGAGCCACTCCAGCTTTAAAGAGAAGGGCACATGGGCCATGATTGCAGGTCCGGAGGGTATTAAGTGGGAATCTGAAGGGAGGAGGGAACTGATGGTGAGAGGAGGGATGGTATTGGAGACATCTCTGGTATACACTAAGGGTGCGATGTAGGTTTTAAGGACTTTGAGAAAGTTCTGACTCCCAGCAGTTCTATGTGTAGCAGATCATACCACTGCCTGGACCTCCAGCATCCTCACAATCCTTACATACAGATTGAGCTCACTGTTGCAGATGCTGTGTGAATCCATATTTTTAAGGGTCTTCTTTATCCCTATTGCACTATACCAAATACAATGTGCTTCTCCAGGAACTGGCCTCTCTTGTATTCACAATGTGTAAGACAGAATCTCACCATCCTTGCTTCCTGACTGTGTTTATTTAAAGACAGATTTGTGCCTTTTTCTAGAACAGATACTCAGAATTATTCACCAGCACCATGATTCAAGTGCCTCAACTCTTTCAGTCTCCCTTATTTATTGTCCACCTTTCACATGCAGATGAGGAAATTGAAAATATTATGCCTTGAATCTGGAACACTTTAGTTTTCAAGATGACTGCTTTGTAAGATATCATTTTTAGCAGATTTGCTCAGTACAGATACTTCACTTGATTTCTTGACTGCTGGTTGTGGATCCAAGTAAAAGGAAATCCTTGACAACTTCAATCTTTTCGAAATTTCTCCTGATGTTGTATATTGATCCTGCTGTGAGGATTTTTTATTTGCTTTATATTAAATTGTAATCAATACTGGAGATTGTCATCTTTGACCATCACCAGTAAGTGCTAAAAATCTACACTCAGCTAGTAAGTTCATATCATCTTCAGATTGTGGGTAGTTAAGAGACTTTCCTTAACTTTGATGGTATGCTGTTCTTAATATAGCTCACAAACACATTGAGTAAGTATAGGGAAAAAATAAATACAACTTTCATGCACATATTTCCTGATTTTAAACCACATCGTACTCCCTTGTTTTGTTGTAACAAAACCTCTTAGTTGGTCTATGGACAATTTCTTCATGAGCACAATTAAATGTTCTGGCATTCTCATTCTCCTCAGGGCTATCCATAATTTGTTATGATCCATGTAGTCCATGCTTTCACAAAATCAGTAAAAAGCCATGCGTGTATCTTTCTGTAATTCTCCTTTAGCCAAGATCCATATGCTAGCAGCGATGATATCCCTTATTCTATATCATTTTCTGTACCTGGCTTGAATTTTTGAAATTCTCTAACTGCTGTGGAACCAGTTTTGAGTTATCTTCAGCAGAACTTTACTTGTGTGTGTGAGTGAGGTAAGTGAGCGTAGTTACACTTTTTATGGCCTCAGTTTGTAGAAGCTGCAAGCTCCAACTGAAGAATAAAACTCTGGGTAGGAGATAGTTCTTTGCCCAGAAATTTGAAAAAAGATGCCCAAGAGGAAAGGGTGCTATCTTCATGGGTTCCAGAGTGAGTGGCAGGTGTGGGCTGGCTCACAACAGAGAGAAGGCTGAGGAAGTCTGTCAGTGGCGTTCTAAGACTGGTCTCATCAGCTCTGGATCCTGGAAAATATCTTCTGTAACCCAATCAGTGAGTCTGGCTTCTCCACCAAGTTCTTTACTGGGGTGCTGATGGATTGCAGGACTCTTTTGCTAACAAAAACAGGTAGGATTTCCCTCGAGGTAATTTTCAAAAAAATTTACCAATTACAAAGGACTGACTGGTTCTTAACGTGATCTAGGCTGATCTCCTTGGGGCTCTTACTGGAACACAAGGAGTGGGGGAGGAGGACCTAGCTAGTGTGAGCTTGGCCAATTCTTTTTGTCTCCACTGTTAGGAGGATGTTTCCCACCATCCGGGTCTCATTTTCTGGAGTAGATCCTGAAGCCAAGTACATAGTTCTGATGGACATTGTTCCTGTGGACAACAAGAGGTACCGCTATGCTTACCATCGGTCCTCCTGGCTGGTGGCTGGCAAGGCTGACCCTCCACTGCCCGCCAGGTTGGTGTCTGCGTGTTTCTCATAAAATGTTCCTTTTAACATCTATCTCTGCCTCGGCTGTTTGAGTTTTAAGTGTGTCTGCTTTTGAAGCTGTGGGCTCTCGTAAAAAAATTTTCTGGTCTGACTATAACAAGCATGAGTTAATCTCAGAGAAAGACAGCTTGCTCACAGACACAACACTTAATTTTTAACTTTCCTCATCGTTTATTTCAAAGTTTTCCCTAAATTAGAACCTAAGTGTATGTTAGACGTCATGATTTGTTTCATACTCTATTACCATTTCTATTTGGCAACATGTAACCACAGATAGCATGCCCTCCAACCCTTTTCAGAAGGGTATGGTTGCTTACACTTAGTATTTGTTAACAATATATCTGCACATTATTATATTTGACATAACAAAATTATTTTGAGTACAATTTAGTTGTTTTTGGCTAGTAAGGGCTTCAACAATTTTAGCTAATAAAAGCAAACGTTTTTCCCCTCTAATACGTTTAGTAGATGAATGTAATTCAACATCAGGTTAATATTCTTTTATGTGAAATATTCCTCATTTAACATTTTAGGAATCATGTGTTTATTTTAAGAAACTACCTTTTCTTTGGGGCTGCTTTGTGGGTAGGGAGGATACTGCATACATTTACTTACTATCTGAAGGAGGAGCGCTAAAAGTTACAAGTATCTTGTCCATACTCCATACTTCAGCATGTTGTTGTTGTTATGTACCATCGAGTTGCCTGCGACTCATAGCGGCCCTATGTACAACATCCCTAAACTCTGCTCTGTCTTGTGCCAATCGCACTGTCTCTGACACACCCATCCCAATTACCCCAGTCACTGAATCAATCCAACTCATAGGGGGCCTTCCCCTTCTGCACTGTCCCTCCACTCTACCAAGCATTATGTCCCTCTCCAAGGACCTGTCCCTCCTTGCAACATGTCCAAAGTATGTTAGATGGAGCCTTAGAATCCTTGCCTAAACCAGTGAATATTACCTGACTTTACATATGAGAAGGGATCCCTGGTGGTGTAGTGTATAGTGAGCTGTGAAACTAAACCCCAAAGCTGCTACATTCTAAGTGGTTTGAATCCACCAGAAGCTTTGTATTGGGCAGGCTCTTTCTGTCTCCCATAGGGAATCACAGATTCTGCTATGTACCCATGCAAGGTTCTCTTAGTTAGAGTCAACTACAAGGCAATGGGTGGGTTACATTTGAGTCCTAAGACCAAGTCTCAGTGCCAGAGAGAGAATTTACTTAAATTCTCAAATCTAGTTTTAAAGTTATTTTTTATTCTTTTTAAGAATCTTTGTCAAAACACAGAATCAATATAGACAATTATACCTACAGTTATTAATCATATTACTTGAGCTTACAGTATGCTAAGTAGGGTAGAGAAGAGAATAAAAAGTCTTTCTCACAAGAGACAATGAAGAACTCTTCTAAGTTAGTATATTAAATAATAGTCAGGCCTAAAACAATTTTTTAAAAAGTTCCTGGTTAAAAAATTTGAGCAATATTCACTAGTTTGGAAGACATTAAATTGAATAGAATTAGTGGGTTTTATTACTTACTATGAAGTAGCCAATTTTCTTGAGTTTTCTTGGCTGAGGGGGTATTTGCAATATTGTCTCAAACCAGAAACAGATGAAAAGAATTTAAGCAGATCCATATTTTACAAAGAACTTATTTCCCATTTTTTTCTTTATAATGTCTTTCATCTAAAAAGTTGGTAGCTTATTTGCTATACATTTTTCCCCATCTGATGGTATGAGAACTGGTGCAGGCTAGCAGGCCTTTGGAATATGAAATACCTTGTTTATGTTACTAATCTGTTCTGAAGTAGGCCTCAGACTAACACACTATCTCAGCTGAAGCATGTGTAAGCAATTGCTGGAATTTTAAGTCCTAGGGACTTAAGAGAGGCAGGACTTCCCATATACATTTTAAGTTATCTAAGTCAGCTTATTTATACTGATATTAGATAAACATGTTTAGTGCATTGTGGGAGAAAATATTCCAGATAATTTAAGCAACTCTCTTATTATCGTTAAAACAAATAGTTTGGTGTATTTTCTAGCTACATAAGGGAAAAATATGGAACTTGGGAGACAATAATTTTTTGTTCGGATGGAGGGGAATTCCTTGGCATTCTAGGTCTTTAAAGTATTTTTACTTCACCTTGAAAAATTAATGGGCCAGTTGTATTAATCAAAAGAAATAATGCTTGAAATCTTTCAGTTATAAAGATATGCATGATCTAAAGTAGTTACATTTGCATATGGGACATTTCCTTTTATTTTAAATATGAAACTGATCAATCAAACAGACAAGCATTTCAACCTACAAGGTCTTCTGTAGGTCCATTAAGAATTTCTAGTGCTATCAGCCTTTTCCTGCTATTTTGCTTCTTGTGATCTCTGTGAATTTCAGCATTTGAGTCAATCTCATCTTAGTCCTCTGTGTAACACACCACAATACTGAATTATCATCCTTTACGTGAATATTCCAAAGAAAGGTTTACAATTTTTTTCTTTCCTATTCCAGTTCCTCATAATATCACTGAGAAATTTAAAAAAACCAACTATTTTTATCATTCATATGTTGTTTTTCATGCAGGTGCATGGTTTTTCCTTAATGTTTCATTTACATTATATTTTATTCATGTACAAGCAATCTTTTATCTAATTATAAGTATCTTATATACGTTTAGATTAAAATTGCTTGTTACATAAACTTATTACTAGTAAAAAAATTCCAGTTGTGACCTTCCATAACATTTCTGAGGATTAACAGGAGGAAACTGTCCATATCAGAGTATCTGGTGGATCCGAACCACATGAGACATGGAGATGTGTGGTTTGGTTGGCTGTGCAGCAAATTATGGACTTTGCCATTACAGCTCATTAGCCAATGGCATAGACAAAGGAATGTCTTCTCTTTCATTAATTCTGTGGTCTCTCATTGACTTTTTAAAGACTTTGGAGACATGAGACCATAATTGAGATGCAGAATGAATTGTGCTTAGTGTTATGGTTATAGGATAAATTTGCATTTAACACTGAGTGAGGATAAGATGGGGTTATACATAGCAGCTGCTTAATGGATAATAAAAGATTTCCATTTTTTAGTTACTTTTTTCACAAATGGCATCCACTTCCTAAACAACATGCTTCTAGAAACTATGAACTTTGAGAAACAATAGTTAAAGAAAGGCTTCAGGTCTTTTGCTTATAGGGTCACTATGAGTTGACTCCATGGCAATCAGCAATACCAACAATTTGGAGTTTATCTAATTGGTTTTCATTCAGTGAACACTTAAACAGATGATGAATGTAGAAGTGTTTAAGGTATTGAAAAGAGCAATAGGCTCTGAATTCTCATCTGTAAACTGGAAAGTTCCTGTGTTTCTATGTCAAAATTACTGTCTTATGTCTCTAAAGAACACAGCCATTAAATTGAGTCACTTTTAAGTACATCATTCTCTAGAAGTGTTTGAGTGTTGGTTTTTTAAAAATTCTTTGTCTTCATTGCTTTTTCTTACTAGTAGGAGATTGTCAAGTAGGTAGTTTAACTTAACCTACAACAATAAAAGTGCGTATGTGACTAAAGTAGTGACTGGATCACCCCCCAAAAAACCTCAAAAATAAAGAGATATTTCACATACTTTAGACATGATTTCAGAAGGGACTGGTCCTTGGAAAAGATACTATGCTTAGAAAAGGTGGAGGGTAAGAAAGAGGGGAAGACCCTTAGTGAAATAGATCAACACAGTGAGTGTGACAATAGGTTTGAGCATATCTGAGGGCCTGAAGTTGGCACAGTTCAGACTTGTTGTTCATAGAGTCAATGAAAGTTGTAATGGAATAGGTGGCATGAAACAACAGGTTTTTTAAAAATTAAAAATGTCTGCCGGGGAAGGAGGGGCAGTCTCCTCCTGTACCTGTCAGATCTGATTTGACGGTACACTCACACACACAAAAAATAGTTCTTTAAAAATTAAAAATGGCATGCTCAATGAAGACTAGAAAGTTAATTTTACTTACTAACCTATTTGTAGATCTTTGAATCTATTCAAGGAAATCTCTTTATGTGTTTTGGAGTTATTTTAGCATTACTATATTGTTAAAGTCGAAATATGTAAAGCAAATGAAATTTACCACTTATATAAGGTTTCTAGAAACAGACCATTTTATATCAACAGAGAACAAATTTTTCAGTAATTTTCCCCCTGATTTTCTTAGGCTGTATGTACACCCAGATTCTCCTTTTACTGGGGAACAGCTCCTCAAGCAGATGGTGTCCTTTGAAAAAGTGAAACTCACCAACAATGAACTGGACCAGCATGGCCATGTGAGTACAGTGGTGTGGGTTAAGCTAGTTCCCCTGGGTTGAATGGAAAGGTCACATATAACTCTGCACCATAATTCTAGTCCCGCTTCTCCTCTCTGTCCGTGTCTTTCTATGAAAATATTCCTATAATCCCTTGGGGATCTTGACTCCTGCTGTCAGGAAGTCACTTATAGGAACGTTTTCTACCATTTATATGTAAGAGTTTTCTGGAAATTCAGTACTCTGCTTTTTTTCAGACTTCTGCTGCTACCTTACCTCTATTTCAACTCAATGAAAGGAATTTGCATTTATGAGGCTACTGTAGCCTGTTGTTGAATTAAACATCTAACCTCTGTCAGTAATACAGCAAATAACGTATTATGGAGGAAATGGGGCTAAGAGTTTCTGTGGTGGTTTTCCAGTGTACATTCTATAAAATATTTATGTGTTATTCAGCTGATTAAAAGAACGTTATGCCCAAATAATTTTGAGAAAGTACTGTTTTCTTATATATTTCCTTTGTAGAAAGATTCATGCACTTAAAGCATTGTGATGTCGTGCAATTAAAAGCAAACAAACTTGTTTGATTTTGTGTCCATTAAGACATCATCAAGGTGTAGAAAAAGAAATTAAGGCTTTGAGCTCTTATCAGTAGTCAGAAGACCAAAAGCCTTTGGCATGAATTCTTACATATTTGATTAGATTCTTTATTAAGGTATTGACTTTGATGCTAATCCCATGTTTTCAAGTAGAGATTTGAATTAAAATTCTTTTAGATTTTATGCTACCAAAGCTTTAGCCTCTCTGGACAAACTTTGGTAATTGTTTTTTGGGTTTTTTTTAGTAACACAGAACTGGCCATTTTAACCTTTTTTAAGTATATAATTCAGTTGCAATAATTATAGTCATTAGATTATGCATCCATTGATATTGTTTTATTATAAAATTGTTTTCATTATGCACACTTCTTTTTGTTGAAGAGAATACTTTTTCTTTTTTGCCTGAGTACCAACTTTGCCAGAAAGCACGTGGGCATTTCCAACTTGTTTCCCTGGGTTTAGCTATTCTGATGTAATTGTTCTTTCTTTTATTTCTTTTTATTATGGCTGGTGTTATTTGAGGTTTTGTTTTATTTTTAATTTGTTCAGTTTTGAGGAGATATTTCTAAATCTTTCTCAATCAAGATAGCAATAAGTAGATTCTAAATCGGAGAGTCCTAGTTATAATCTCAAATAGTTGAATTGAACCTGGAGCCAAATAAATCACTCAGGCATTGCTACCATCCATTGCTCACAGGAGAGCTTGTTTATCATGGTTTACCAGGGTAATCTGATTTAACTCATGGCTGGTGGCACTGTTGGGATCTTGGAGTTAGGTTAACAGGTTTTTGTTATTTTTTTGTACTAAAGAGATAATAGATCTCCTTTTTAAGAGTTTTTATATAGTTATACTTTTGTTTATTTTTCTTTTAGTTTAAAAATTAATGAGGCATTTGAATGGTCATATTTTGTGCTCTAGTGAAATATTTGCAGAGAGAAAAGGGATTATTTAATGACTCTGATACTTTATATATGTTAAGTTTTAAAAGAAGTTGCATGGGTCACTTTAGAAAAACTTAAGAGTTTATTTTGAGATCAGCTGTCCAGAATTGAAATGTTTCTCTTTTAGAATAAGCTTCATGGGTGGGAATAACATTCATATGAATCTCAGGAACTCTGGAGTCCAGTCTGGTTGTGCCAGGACAAGACTTTGACAAATTGTTTAGTCTTAGATGTTTGCCGCTATCTATTTTAGCATAAAACTTCCCTGATTTAATAAAACATGTTCCCACCAGGAAGTATATGTTATGAAAACTACAGGAAGAGATTTTGGTTTTTTTAAGATCCTGTGCTGTTTAGTCAATTTCTTTCAAAGAATCCTTAGGAAGACCTTTATAATGATGCATTTTTAGTTTTGTATCATAAAAGTTTCTTATTTATAGGGATTATTGTCTCAAATGAAGCAGAGCTAATGTTTCTGTCAATATTCCTTGGTCCTACAAAGGCTCGAGAAGTCAGAAATCCATGCATCTGAAATTCAGTATGGGTTTTAAGTCCTAAAATATGCATTTTCTAAGAAAATTTATCTTGAGGGTGGTTGAAGTGGGAATGGAGAATTCATTTAAAGGTTAAGTTTGCCCCTCTACTTTGTGTTTGTGTGTGTGTGTGTGTGTGTGTGTGTGTGTGTGTGTGTGTGTGAAGAGGGGGGAGAGATATTTGAAAATTTTAAAGTGAAAGTTTAGGTTTTTTACTCTTAAACCAATATTAGAAGCAAATATTTTCTTTTGTCACTTCAACTTTATGACTAAAAATAGCTATCTTGTATTCCTTGGAATAAAGATAATACACAGAGAGGTGGACTATTTTTTTAAAAAGTTTATCTCATTCAATGAGATAAAAGTTTATCCCATTCACAATTATTTTAGAATTGCTACTATCATTTGAGACCATAAAAAGGTGCCTTTTAAAATATGAGTGCTCTGATCCTAGGAAAGACTTAGGCACCCGTCAGAATGGCAAAAGGAAAAACATGGAAAGCCTTTTATGTTTGAAAGTAAATTTTGTTGCTTGTATTTAAAAATGACAAATAATTACATTTTCTTTAAATGACACATGAAATTATTTCCAAATATTTGATAATTTTATTAGCAAAAAAAGAAGATGATCATAACTGTTCTGCCAATTTAATTTTATAATTAGAAGTAAGGAATAAATGAAGCTGTCAGAAGTAACTACCATGGTATAATCATCATAATAATTAACTGAACACTTACTATTTTCTGGCGTGCTTAGATAGAACAGTTAAGCAGTTTAGAACTACCCAGAAGCACAGTTAGGTGAAAGACCTGGAGATTTATTTCCAGAAGGTGATAGCTTTTGAAAAACCCTGTGGTGCTCCGCTGCACGACTCAGCATGAGTTGAAAAGAACTTGATACAAATGGGTTTTTTATTTTGTAATGCTTTGCTTTTTAACCATGTCCTTCAAAACATTTTATAATCTGATTTTTATTACAATCCTCAGAGTAATAACCTTTCTGATCTTTCTTAATGAACCTATTCCTACAACCCAAATAAACAATAGTCTTATGTAGTTCTAGAATATATGATTTATTTTAGAAAATTTTGCTATGCAAACTTTGATTTAAACAGACCAAGAAATACAAAATGTCTTTAAAGAGTTGATAAAAACAAAGAAAACAATTTTTTCTAGAGAATAGTTTTCCTCTTACATTTTGGAAATGATACCTGAACAAATTGGAATTATTTTTTACTATGATTTGAATGAAAACTTACAGAGCAAATTGGTTTTTGCAGTCAGCCATTCATTAACATTTTGTTTTATGACATTAATTACAATATTCACTTCATAACATGTATCCTCCCACTTCTCATGATTCCTGTTTCTATCAGTCCTGCCTTTTAATCTTAGTTAATTATTCTTTTATTATTATTATTAATTTTAATGAGCATTTACAGAGACTTTGGATTTCCATTCAATCATTGTTGCACTTTTCTTCCTGTCCAATCTCCCCCCTTATTAGCTCTTCTCTTTGAAAAGTAAATTAAAAAGTGTTCATTGTTATACAATCTCTTACCCCAAGGCCACTCCAATATGCAGCCTTCGTTCTGGACTCCTATCATGATGATAAAACCTAGTCATATATTGCTTTTAAACAGTTCTCTCTCTCATCTGTTTCAGTGCAGTATATATTATTTATCCCATCTTTCTCAGTCTCCCCCAACCCCGATGTCTGTTCCGTTTTACAACAGTGGCCCTATGAAGTATTTGTCCTTTTGTGACTGAGATATTTCACTCAGCATAAGGTCCTCCATGGTCATCCATTTTGTATAATATTTCATTAATTATTTGTTTTTCAATGCAGCATAATATTCCATTGTGTGAATATACCAGAGTCTCTGTATCCATTTGTTTGTTGATCGGCATTTAAGTTGTTTCCAACTCTTTGTTATTTTGAACAAAGCCTCAATAAACATGCGTGTGCATAGTTAATTATTCTAAGGAGTGACTACCTCTCTGGTGATGGTGTTCACTGTATAAACCTGTGTATTACTTGTCTGAAATTTGAACCCAAGGGGTGAATTTTGTTCTAAGTTCAAAGAATTCCTAAAAACCATAGTCTCAGGGATTCTGCCAGGCTCTAGCAGACAAGAAAACATGGCCATTTTGGGGTTTTGAGCTTTCTTCCACTCTCCCCCTCCCCATTCTACCCAGGCCTCATTACTGTGATCCCATTTACAGTTGTCAGCAGCAATAACCAAGTACCATCTTCTAGTCTCAGGTCTGTGGAGGGAAGGTTCACAAGGTCGTTGTTGTTGTTGTTGTTGTTGTTGTGTGCTGTCGAGTCGCCTGCGACTCATAGCGACCCTATGTACAACAGCCCAAACTCCGCTCTGTCCTGTGCCAATCGCACCGTCTCTGACATCTCATCCAGGGTCTTCCTCTCCTGTACTGACCCTTCCAAGTAGGAGGATGTCATTCTCCAAGGACTGACCCCTCCTGGCAACATGCCCAAAGTACGTTAGAGTTTTAAAATCCTTGTCTCCAAGGAGCAGGTTGTTAGACTGATTAATTCATTGAATTAGTAAGTTCTATGCATCTTTGCTTTTCTTCCCTCTTCATTCCAGACCAGGAGAGAGCAACAGATACACCTTAAATGGCTGACTGAAAACTTCTTAAGATGTGGCCACTAAAGTAGGATATAGAACATTGTTTTGTGACTATATGATGCCAAATGACCACATGCAATCCTAGGCTATGGTTCTGAGACTCTAGACTAACAGCTGTCTCAGTTGCCAGCCTGAATTATTTTGCTGTGACTCACAGGATGACTTTGTAGTCGTGGTGTGGGTGCCACAGGGTCAGCTCTGGCTCATGGTAAGCCTGTGTAGGAAGCGCTGTGCAAGCCACTGTGTCCTTAAGAGTGGCTGTGGTGCTTGACCCCATTGTTGAGCTGCTGTGTCAATCCATCTGGTTGAAGCATATCTTCCCTTTAAAGACTTCATACTTTACCAGACATGATGCATGTCTTCAGAGACTGACCTCTCCTGCAATCAATCATCCTAAAAGAGGGAAACCAAGTCATGCTCTCCTTGACTCCAAGGAGCATTCTGGCTACACTTTGTCCAAGGCAGATGACTTGTTCTTTCAGCAGTCTATGTATATGCAGTTTATTATTCTTCATCGTTACAAGTCTTCCTTATTCATTGTCCATCTTTCACATGCATATGAGACAATTGAAAACACCATGGCTGGGGTCAAGCACAGTTTTAATCCTGTTTTTAGCATTCTATGGCAGTTTGTGAAAATAAGGATGGGGGAATAAAAGATATATCCCATCTTAAAATTGAATTTGCAATTAGACTTACAGGTTCTTCTTTGCCTTATTTTTTGACCTGTTTAATAGTTACTTAAAATATTTAAATGCAATACTTCCCACCTCTTTGTCTTAGATCATTTTGAATTCAATGCATAAGTACCAGCCTCGGGTACATATCATTAAGAAGAAAGACCACACGGCTTCACTGCTGAATCTGAAGTCGGAAGAATTCAGAACATTCATCTTTCCAGAGACAGTTTTTACGGCAGTCACTGCCTACCAGAATCAGCTGGTGAGTATTCCCAAAGGAGATGGGAAGTTCTTGGGTTGCCTTGAAGAGAAGGGATAAGCTAGTTCTCAGGATGGGAGTAGCAGCCTCAAGACATTGAACAGTGCATTTCATGAGCACAGATCAAAGCTATAAGGGTCTGTGTGTGTTACATCATCTTTTCCAGAATCTTCCCACCCTGACCTGGCTGTTTGTTGCCCACTCCTTTGCCTTACCCTACCTTGACCCAATCTACAATCCCAGATTCTCTACTCCAGAAAATTCTCTCATTTCCCTGGTAGAGCTGGCTAAACTACATAACCATATGCTCTTAGCTTCAAGAGTTCTGGAAGTTCTGCTTTCCTCCTAAGTGAAACACAGTCAAGCTAGATGTCCAAACTACTAATGCTTTAGGTATTATATGAATGTTATTCAGCTGTGCAAAGACTGAGATAATTGTCTCTGAAGAACAAGAAACTATCATATGGAAATGGTTGTGTGTTGAAGATAATTCAAATTATAATATTGAGTTACATATTTTCCTAAAAATGTACATATTTTAAAATGTTATGTTGTTGTTACATGCTGCTGAGTCACTTGCAACTCATAGCGACCTTATGTACAACAGCCCTAAACCCTGCTCTATCCTGTGCCAATTGCGCTGCTTCTGATACACTCATCCCGATTACCCCAGTCACTGAATCAATCCACCTCATAGAGGGTCTTCCCCTCTTGCGTCGTCCTTCCACCCTCCCAAGCATGATGTCCCTCTCCAAGGACCTGTCACTCCTTACAACATGTCCAAAGCATGTCAGACGAAGCCTCAGAATCCTTGCCTCCAAGGAGTAGCCTGGTTTAACCCTCTCTAGGATGAATCTGTTTGTTTTCTTAGCAGTCCATGGTACACTCAATACTCTTCTCCAGCAACACAGCTCAAAGGCATCAATTCTCCTTCTAACCTCCCTAGTCACTGTCCAACTCTCTGATGCATAACAAGTGATTGCAAAGACCATGGCCTGTATCAGATGCACCTTAGTCTCCAGAATGACACCATTGCTCTTCAGTAATTTGAAGAGGTCCCTAACAGCAGACTTTCCCATCACAGTACGTTTTTTGATTTCCTGGCTACTGGTACCAAGAGTGTTGACCGTGGAGCCAAGCAGACTAAAGTTGTTAACAATCTTAATCTCTTCACCATCCATCCTGATGCTGCCAGTTGGTCTAGTGGTGAGAATCTTTGTCTTTTTGATATTGACCCTCAATCCATACGGAAGGCTGCAGTCCTTGACCCTCTGCAACAAGCATTTCAGGTTCTCCTCAGTTTCAGCAAGCAGGATTGTGTCATCTGCATAATGCAGATTGTTACTAGATCTTCCACCAATCCTGACGCCACACTTCTCCTCACAGAGCCCAGCCTCCCAGATAATTTGTTCTGCGTACAGGTTGAAAAGGTATGGAGACAGGACACATGCCTGGCGTATACCTTTCCCAATTTTGAACCATGCAGTGTTTCCTTGCTCTGTTCTGATGACTGCTTCTTGGTCCAAGTATAGGTTTCACATTAGCACAATCAAGTGTTCTGGGATTCCCATTCTTCTCAGAGTCAGCCACAGTTTTTTATGATCCACACAGTCCAACGCCTTTGTGTAATCAATGAAACACAGATAGTCAGTCTTCTGATATTCCCTGCTTTTAGCTAAGATCCATCTAACATCAGCTACAATATCCCTAGAACCACGACTATTTCTAAACCCAGCCTGGACTTTTGGTAATTCTCTGCTGATGTGCTGTTCCAGTCGTTTTTGGATAATCTTCAGTAGAATCTTGCTTGCATGTGAAATCAATGATATTGCTCTATAGTTTTCACACTCTGTTGGGTCACTCTTCTTTGGAATGGCACCAAATATAGATCTCTTCCAGTCAGTTGGCCAAGTGGTTGTTCTCCAGATTTCTTGGCACAGCTTGGTGAGCATATCCAGGGAAGCATCTGTTAGCTGAAATATGTCAATTGGTATACCATCTATTCCTCGGGCCTTATTTTTTGCTATTTCCTTCAAAGCAGCTTGAACTTCTTTCTTCATCACCATAGGCTCTTGCTCATATATTATTTCATGAAATTCTTCTGAGTCTGCCAATTTCTTGTAAAAATATAAGATCCAAACAATAGACACTTGCCTATACATTTTCTTTTTTTCCTCATCAGCAAATCAAGTAAACCATTGAGAGGTATATTGAAGTAAGCTAAGATCATTTAACTAGCAAAACCAACAATCTCCTTTAATTTTTTTTTAGGAAATATAGAATGCATATATCACACATTCAGAAAACTTCCTAAAACCTTAGCTTTACACTAATTAGATTTGTTATTGTTATATGCCGTGGAGTACACTCTGGTTGCACTTTCTTTAAGACATAATTGTTTGTTCATTTGTCTGTCCGTGGGATGTTCAGTGCTCTTCTCCAACAACACAGCTCAAAGGCATCCGTTGTTCTGTCATTCTTATTCATTGTCCAGCTCTCAGATGCATAGCAAGTGATCAGAAAGACCATGGTCTTAGAGACCGTGGTCTGAATCAGACACACTCTAGTCCTCAATCTGACATCATAAGACCATTTAAAGTTTATGTGGAAGGTGCTCAACAAACATAAGGACTAAGTTAGATGCTACATGGATGCTACATGGAAGATTGTTTGGTCCAGTGCCCCCACCACACCACAGGAGAAAGAAGTGTCAGTTGGCTTCACAGCCTTAGAATCTATCTATCACAAGTATACACCTCATTTACAGCCTTAGAAGCTATCTAAGACTGTTGTCCTTTGTAGTTGCTATCAAGTCACCATAATGACCCTATGAACAACACATCTGAACTTTACCTTTTACTGGACCATCCTTACTATTTTTTTATATACTCAAGTCCACTGTTGCTGTCATATGGCAGCCTATCTTGTTAAGGATCTTCCTATCTTTGACCTTTGCCTTTCTCCCCTTGATGTCATTTTTAAAATTCCTCCTGTCCACATGCCCTAAGCATGTGAGCCAGTTTCATCATCCTTGGCCCTAAGAAATACCCTGGTTTCACCTCCTCCAAGACAGACTTACGTATTCTTTTGGTAGTCCATGGAATATTTAGCAATCTTCTCTGACACTACAATTCAAAGGCATCAATTCTTCTGCCATCCTTATTCATTTGTCCAATTTTCAGATACATTCTTGCTGTTATTGGTAGACACCATCAAATCAGAGCCAAATCGTAGATGACTGACCAGTAGGTTCTCAGGAGCACTAAGTCACATGTGAGAAGATTGCCCATCCCTACCCCACAGAGCAGAGCAGCTGGTGGGTTTGAACTGCATTCCTTTGGGTTGACAGGCAAATGCTTATCACTAAGCCACTGAAGCTTCCTCTAGATGCATTAGGAGTTGACATTAATGCCATTGTGGTGGCTTTCCCCCATTCTTTCTGTGAATTGATTTGATAATAAGGACTTGTATGTATGTATATGTGTGTACGTGTATATGTATGTATATGTTGTTGTTGTTATGTGCTGTCGACTCACTTGTTACTCATAGCAACCCTATGTACAACAGCCCTAAACTCTGCTCTGTCCTGTGCCAATCTTATTGTCTCCGACATACTTACCCCCATTACTCCAGTCATTGAATCAATCCATCTCATAGAGGGTCTTTCTCTCCTGCACTGTCCCTCCACCCTCCCAAGCATGATGTCCTTCTCCAAGGACTGATCCATTCTTGCAACATGTCCAAAGTATGTCAGATGAAACTTCAGAATCATATGCCATTTTTAAAGGACTCGTGGAGCTGTAGTGATTCACTGGTAAAGCTCTTGGCTGCAGAAAGGCTGGTAATTTAAACCCACCAACTCCCCTAAGGACAGAAATCTGCTCCCCTACAGATTATAAATTTGAAAATCTTACAGAGCTTTTCTGCTTCATCATATAGTAGGTATGATAAGAGTAAAAATCAACTTGATGTCACCCAACAACAGCATCCCCTTTTCTGAAGCTATCCCATGTACTTTACAGACCGCCCTATATCTACTGCTTCTGTGTCATTGTACCATGTTTGTGTACTACTATTTTTACAGCAACCACAAAAATATAGTAACTAAACAAATAAGCACACAGTAAAGTTAAGCACTAGAATTTTTCATGCACACAGATCAAAGAGGGAAGAGGAGAGAGGGAAAGAATGTAATGTCTTCACTTTGGACCATTGTTACAGCTCTTAAACTTTGTGAGGATTATGAGCTTTATGTCTATTAAAAGCCACATCAGAGTTTTCAATAGCATTTTTTTTAAAAAAGCTTCTCATTTATTGTGGCTGGGAGTTTTATTTATGGGCAATGAAAAAGGGACCTTTTTTGCTATTTTTACCTCTGCTTTTTGCAAGGGAATATTGCATTTCTCTATATTATTAGATAAAAGCTAAGTACATTACACTTTAAACAAACTATTTCATAATATAAGATTTAAAGGTCATGCATTGTTTTTGAGCAGGCAAACCATTGCTGTAAAGTTGAAGTGTAGGTCAGGTTTCATTTTTAAATGCCTTCAGACAGCTCTTTTCCTGATAATTGGAGAAATGGTCCCTAAGGGCCAATTTCACCTTGTGGCTGGGAATTCCAGCTAGATTTTGAATCCAGTGTTATCACAATGAGTGATAACCACTGGAAAAGGTCCCATGCTCTTTGGCACGGCAGACAGTATCAAAATATGTCCTCCATCTAAATATATATTTATCTAGAAATACTAGCAATGTTGACATTGGAAATTTCCATTTAGAAGTATATATTCTGTATTATTGAGATAATAGATAAAAACATGAAGGACTTATTTTGATTTGAATTAGTCAGAAATTTGGATGTGTATTAGACTCGTTCTGTTGTACATAAAGGCACTATGATCCTTTTTGGCAACAGTTGTGCTGCCGACCCAGACAGGTGGTTCAGATCTGTCAGGTGCTTCAGCAGGAGAAAGACAGGCAGTCTCCTCTTTAATGTCTTG